CAGTGGTTAGTCCATCTAAGAAGGCTTGTCTTACTGATTTAATTATAGAGTCAGTGCAAACTTTAGGTTTTGTATGTTCTCTCCATAAAATAATCTCTTGGCTGTCATGCATACCATGCCAGCTATAGCGTTTTTGACAAGTCTTCATGTACTAGCTGTAATTTTCGAAGAGAATTTGAAGATTTTATCAAATTACACCGCGTAGTGTACAGGGCGCTCCCGCAGTATATCACAACATTCACAAGGCACATCGCATTATTGCCGCTGTAGCAAAATATACGCAGATCGTGAGAATCTTCTTTCCGTCGCGGAGAAATTCTAAGACTACGACTACAAAGAACAATTATGAGAGGAGGTGAGCTCGGGGTTGACATTTCCTTGGCAGGCTAGTATCTTGTTTGAGAACAAACAGTTCTTTTGTAAAGGAAAAGAATGTATATGTTTATTACTTTTAGTGCAAGTGCAATTTGTGGACATCAGTTTGCTAAATGAGGTTGGATATCTTCAGAATCAATACGTTAATCAAGACATGTTGCTACTTCCCTAGTCATCACTAAATTGACGCATCTTAACTGCCACATCACGTAAAACATTCCAGGAGTGCGTGGCATAACTCTCCTCTCAAATGATTCAGTTCCCAAGTCTCACATCCGCACAAGAATCTGTTATCTGCAATTAAGCCACATTGAATGTCTTATCACATTGAGGACAGTTGTTGGAAGTACGTACAACCCACCAGAGATCGATAGCTCATTCTTATCTCACCACATTCTATAGAAATGAAGGATCTATCGTATAAAGCATTTCCCCTTGAACCCCAATTTTTCATTTTCATCTGATAGCAGAAGAGATGTTTGTTACTGGAATATATGGACGGTAAAGCAGGAACATCAAACAGGGTGGATTTTATTATATCGAGATAAAGTGAGTGAACTATGGAAAGTCACGATAACAGTTGTTTTTCCTTTATCTAATGGATAAATCAAACAAGCAGATTATTAGGTAACACTTGGTAAGACAATACTTTAGCGTATATCGCCAATACATCATTTCTTACTTTAAAATGAAGGATTAGAATGTAACTTTTCCGAAAATATTATTTTTTCTTTAAGGAACCCTCTGCTTGCTATTTTATAGAATTTCAAAAGTGCGTCTTTTGGTGTTAATGCTCTAGAATAGAATACTGTTTTATATGCTGTGTTTTTTTTGCAAAAAAGGATGCTCTACATTATAAGAATATAACATGCACTGTAAAATACTAAGGAAAATAGATGTATAACTGTAAAAAATCGTTGTTTTTTCAAAAAAAAAAAAGGTTCAAGACCAGCCGTGTTATTACACATTAGCTAAGATAACAGTTTAAAATACATATGTAAATGATGGTATTCATTTGGTAAACTGTGTAGAGGTGATGTCTTGTGATTTTTCAATGTTTCTTTAAATTCCTTAACCCATTTTCAATGATATCAAAGTTTTTGCATTTGTAAGAAATATTTGAAAGTACAAACAAATCTCAATGGCCATTTTATAACGTTCATGTCTTGACAGATAAGATAAGTCATGTCCATTGTTGCGAAGTTGTACTTTTTTGGGGAGAAATACGTAATAAAAAATAAGGTTATTTGCAAAATAGAAGTCTTAGTTCATTGTAAATGGCTTGTAAATGAACCAGCGGCTCTCGTGACATAAAAAATACAAAAGGCAGTCATAGCATATAAAAATACCGACCTTTGATTTGTCGATTTGGACCACGTCGCCAGGTCCACCCAACATATCATCGTCCAACATTATAGTTAAATAAAGATCAACGACCATTTCATCAGAACATCAAAAAACTTGCAATGTTCTTTGTTATGTTTTCATTATTAAGTGATCGGCAACAGCTACTTTTTCAGTTTCAGCTTCACTTTAAATAATTCTTCAAGTACATACATACAAAAAGTAAATAGTTTATAACTATAATATAGGGGAAACAATAACCGAAGTACTTTTGTGAAGGGCAAAAGGCATTCTTCAAAAAAGTGTCTTTAGCTAACGCTATATTGGGAACGAGGTGGATTTAGTACAGTAAAACCTACCGACCACACCTCCAAATCACATTTTCCTGACAATCCTGTGCCGATTGCAATTTTTGCGCTAGTATATAAGTAAGAATTTAACAAACCTAATTAAGGTATATTAGTATCCGTGATTTGGCAACAGTATGATAGTGATGGTGGTGTAGTGATGGGAATATCTATCAGAGATAAAAGAAATGACTACTTAACAATGAACTATTAATAATGCAAAATTACATTTTTGCAATGAACAGTGTCACAGTAATATACAGTGTATGTGTATATTTATATAATTTTGAGCAATCTTTTGTGTAAACAAGAAAAACAGCTTATAAAACAGTATTCTACATCACAGTATTACCATCCAAAATACAACTTTGAAGTTCTATAAAATAGCAAGCAGAATGTTCCTTAAAGGAAAAATGATATTTTCATGCAAGTTACATCCTAATCTTTATTTTTAAAATAAGAAATGATATATTTACGATATGCGCTAAATTATAGTTCAGCCTTCTGGACAGCCTTGCAAGGAACTTAACTTAAACTTCAAATCATCATTGTAATAAAAATTACCTATATTACATTACATGAAAAGGTATATAATTAAAATGAAACATTAAATATTTACAATAATATATACTCATAGCGAAATACTCATCCAACATTAGTTGATCAGTATTATATCGATATCAAATAAGCTGTTAATAGACGTTAGCCCGCTCTTGATGAACATTAATTCTGGAACCACCAATGCCCCTTCCCTTGACTTTTACAAATTCGTGATTGCGATACTTCTTCTCCAGTGGCGAAGGAAGTAAGAGGCTCAAAAATGGATCAATCCAGAACATATGCGCAACCATGCTAATCCGGGACCCATTGAGTCCGGAAATGTCCTGTTTTCAAGATGTCGGTAGAACTTCTAATTACCATAAGAAGTTTTCGAAAAGCGTCTGTAATCTGGATTCAAAAATCAATCCTTATTTTCATTTTGGCGATACGGCGCAAGCAGTACGTGATTAACCTATGGAATGTCATTATTCATTGTTCCTTGTAAGGCCACAATGTCTCAGATGGCGGTAGAAATCTACAATTCAGCAAATATTGAGGTGGTACCATTCAAAAATCAGTACAATATCCCTGACGTTCTTCTTCATCTAAAAACAAAGCACTTACGTTTTCATGATCCTTATGGCACTGTCAGTCGTTTGATCGACCTTACAAAGAACCATAGGGCTTCCTAGGAATACAATCGATATTTTAACTTAAATGGAAATAATATAATAATTTTCTTTTTAGTGCCAAAGCAGATACTTCATGTACCACCTGTAATTTTGAAGAGAATTTGAAGATCTTTTATCAAGTTACACCGCGTAGTATACAGGGCGCTCCCGTGTATATCACAACATTCACAAGGCACATCGCATTATTGCCGCTGTATCAAAATACGAGTATACGCAGATCGCAGATCGTGAGAATCTTCTTTCCGTCGCTGAGAAATTCTAAGATGACTACGACTACCAGGAACAATTATGAGAGGAGGTGGGCTCGGGGTTGACATTTCCTTGGCAGGCTAGTATCGTGTTTGAGAACAAACAATTCTTTTGTAAAGGAAAAGAATGTATATGTTTATTACTTTTAGTGCAACCATAGGGCTTCCTAGGAATACAATCGATATTTTAACTTAAATGAAAATAATATAATAATTTTCTTTTTAATGCCAAAGCAGATACTTATCTATCAATTCAGAGTAAGACAATTTATAGAAAGTAATCGGTTACTTACCTGAAAACCTACGTTTTGCTGTAAGCGCCTATTACCATTCCAACATCGACGACCGATGTCATTACAGCGATGGACCTCATTGACAAAATAACGATGCGAGCAGCTGTATTCTTGAGTTCGATGGGTGCTAGCGTGAGCAGAAGGCATTTGTTATCGCATGGTAATAACTACGGCCTTTTAATAACTGGCCTTACAAGGAGCGTAGTCTTCCATAATCAACCCACCTTACTTCCAAAACATTATTATGAATGTTTGGAACGTGGAAATTGCCAATAACTCAGTGACGGTGCTGCTCCCAAGAAACGTGTGAACACTGAATGTACTTCCCTCATGGGACGAGATATAACGTGCTTAGATAACGCCTCTATACATCTAAAATATGTGCCGCTAAATGGAAACATGCAACGCAGCATAAAATTAGACTAGAAGACGCGCTGTTGCGTAAGCCTCCTTTCTTGATATTTATCGTTCCTTTTACAAAATGGTGATGCGCCCTACTTCTGCTGAACGAGCAATTACTTTGGAAAATGAAGACGAAAATGGCGTTCAAGTAGATTGACTCTGCACTCCCCACGCAACGCTACTGTCATCAATCCTTAAAGGATTATGTTTGGCACAAGTTAGGCCGTCTGAGAAAAAGGTAGCTACTAACATGTATAACAAAAAATTAAACAGATCAAGTCACTCAAACAGGCCCATACGATTAAAATTGGCATATTTAGCATCATTGTGTGTACAACTTTGAGGATTTTCAGGATTTATTCTTCACCCTCCGCTATTCCACAGCTGACAGCAGTACGGTGGTCATCATCGGGACTACGGCGCACGTATCGAGACGCGACTGCTGGAAATATTTTTGTTTTACGGGCAAACGTAAGGGAAAATCTATGATAAGTCAAATAATAATAATAACAATAATAAGCTCTACATGGAAGGTTTACCTATGAAGTTAGCCAAGACTATGTAGACAAACAAGCGTCTTACAACTGTCTAGCCCGTGGGGACTTCTACCCAGAAATGGAGGGCTTTATGCTTGCTATCCAAGATCAGGTCATAAAGACCAACAATTATAGGAAATACATCAATTTACAATCAGATGTATGCAGGAGATGTAAACAAACTAGTGAAACCATACACCATATAATACAAGGCTGTCAAACTATGACACAAACAGAATACAAACGAAGACACGACGAAGTTGGCAAAACTATCCACCAAAAGCTTGCTCTTAAGTACGGCCTAATTGGAGAAAAAAGAAGGTACTACCAATATCAACCTGAAACCGTCCTAGAGAACACAAAATACGAAGTTTACTGGGACAGAAGCATTCTCACAGACAAGAGCCTAGGTCATAATAGACCAGATATCACCATATGGAAAAAAAAGGAAGGGGAGGTCCTGCTCATCGACATAGCGGTGACTAATGACACAAACATGGGGAAAACCTTTGCAGAGAAGATCAATAAATATATCGACCTTAACTATGAATTAAAAGACCTATGGAGAGTAGACAGGGTCAAAATGATCCCGATAGTCTTATCCAATATGGGAACTATACCACGAAACCTATTTAAATCCGTGGAAGAGCTAGATCTGGAACCTTATATCCACCAACAGATGCAGAAAGCAGTAATACTGAACACATGCCATATAGCACAAAGATTTTTGTACTCAGAATAAATACCGTCTTCCAGAAATGGTGCCATCCCTTTGGTTGAGACGATATCCTCCTGACGTCCTCCAACCAAAGTATACCAGCAGAAAGAAGCTGTGGAAAAGTGGAAATAATAATAATAATAATAATAATCATATTTATCCACTCAATGTACAAAGAGATCAAACATCATGAGTAAATAAATATGAAATCAAATCAGGCCCAATAGAAGGCATTGCCTGCATATGGACCAATAATCTTAAGTTGAAACTGTAGAACGGAAATGACAAAAAAGGACAAAAATTAGCCACAGTGGATTATGTATTTACTTGATGTTCATATTTATGAGTTTATAAATTTCAGTCCTAGATATAGAATGTAGCCACTTTTTTAAATTTCTTTTGAAACAATTTCCGAAATGTAAATCTTTTAATTCTTTAGGTATAATTTCATAAAATTTTGGCACTAAATAGAGATATGACCGCTGCATTATGGATTTATGCGTCTGAGGAACTACTGTGCTACGAATTTTGTACATTGTGTAATGATTGTTTGATTTTTTTGTCGGTGTTGACAAATTTAGGGTAGTGAGTGATACTATGTAAGAAATAAAGCTTATCTTATATCATATATTTGTACATGTACGTATAATTTGTCAGAATACTTTTTGGAAAAACATCTAAGTTATAGATATGTGAGGAGCACACAGCTCCCCATGCTAATATACCATATATGAGATGAGGCTCAATCAGTGCAGTTATAAATTATTTTTCTGTCAGTATATTCGCAAGGTATTTAATTTCGTAGGATACAAATCTAACTTTCTTTGAAATATAATTGACATGGATGTCCCAACGTAAGTGAGGATCCAAGACCACTCCAAGGTATTTTATGTTCGGTACTCTATTAATTTGCATTTTTTGATCATTACTGTTGAAGGAGAAATTTGTGTAATTTGGCAGATATCTAGTATAAGATCCAAATGGTAAAACATGTGTTTTAGAATAGTTAATGTTTAATTTTCTACTATTAAACCACCGAATAATTCTGGTCAAATTATTCTCAATTACATTTTTTAGATCAGACCAGTCGGTTCCTTCATATAATATTGCAGTATCATCTGCAAAACTGGTTATTTTGCCTACACAATTGATTTGGAAATTATCATTCAAATATATATTGAATAACAGTGGACCTAAGACATTTCCTTGTGGGACACCACACTTAATATACATTTCCTTGCTAAACGATCCTGATATCTGGACTGACTGTGGGTGATTTGATAGATAATTTTCGATTAGTGAGTACGCATTTGCTCTGAAACCAATTCTCTCCTATACTTCTAATAATAATTTGTGATTAACTGTGTCGAAAGCTTTCTTTAAATCAACAAATATGCAGACGGAAGGGATTCTGTTATCAACATTTTGATAAATTTGATTTACAATTTTAACTATTGCGTCCGATGTAGCCTTCCTTTCTGTAAGTCCATATTGATTTTCAGTTAAAGTTTTGAATTTTGTGATGTATCGAATCATTCTAATAGATAAAACTTTTTCAAAAACTTGCTACACCGGGTATTATTGATATTGGTCTATAATTATTAACATCTGTTTTTTTTTTCCTGATTTATGTATCGGTATTATATTACCTTTTTTAAAATTGAGGGATATATGCCGGATTCAAAGCATTTGTTGATTAGGTAAGTTAGTGGTTCTGTTATGTCCTCGGCTATAATTTTCAAATGCTCGCTTTTAATACCGTCGAGTCCAGGACTTTCTCGATTTTTTAAGAACATGACAGTGGTGTATACTTCACACAGCTGGACTTTATCCAAAATGAATGAGTTCAAAGATCTTTTTGGAAGCTGAGTATTGGGCACATTTTCTTGTATTATTACTTGATAAGTTTTCACCTAATATCAGTGTCATTATCAAGTGTACAAATTAATCGCATGTTTGTTGAGTATTTTTAATTACTGTTCCCGATGTTGTGTTCAACTGATACACTCTTTAAACTTTGTTTTTTCAGTAATCTCATCAATAGTCGTCCAAAGTCGTCTAGGATCATTTAAGTTATTATTCAATCTATTTAGGTAATATTTTTGTTTCGTTTACCTTGCAAGCTCTATATCTTTATTTTTATATTGGTTGTAGCAATCTATATTTTCTGTAGTTGGCGCTAGTTACATCACTTTATAGAGTCTTTCTTTATCTATTGCCGATGTTGTTAATCCCTTGGTAAACCAGGTGTTTCTGCTTTTCTCTTTGTGACTATTTTTTTCTTTATTGTCTATTATATTATATATCTATTAAGTTTTTTATTTTATCTATGAATAGTCCCATTGATTTGTCTATATTATTTATAGAGCATAATTGTTACCAGGATTCTTGTTTGACATTTGATATTAGTTTTGAATTGTCGACAAAAGATTTGTAATTTTCCTGGTTGTTACTAACGGTAGGGATGTTAGAATCTTTTTCATTTGAAGATATCTATAAACTAGTGGTGAAAAGTGGTCAGTAATATCGCTTTCTAGGATTATTGGAATACGAGTAATTTTTTTGGATAGGGCTTTTACAAAGCAGTGATCGATACATGTGCCACTGATGAACCTTCTAGGTCGGTTTATCTTTGACACAAATCCTATACTTGACAGGATAGTATTCATTTGTAATGGGATCATCGTGCAAAATATTTATATTGATATCTCCCAAGAAAATATGTAGTTCTAAATGAGCATTATTTTGATTTTGAAAAAAGATCGATATTCTTTAAAAGCTCGTGGGGTTCTGAACATGGCGGACGATAAATTGCAGAAATTTGAATTTTGCTATGGTTAACTTGGATCATTATGTTTAAAATTTTTATTCCATCGGTGAAAGTGAATGTATCATGATTATATTGAAGTTTATTTCTTACGAAAACTATCACCCCATCGTTTTGGTTATGTGCCAAAGTTATACAGCGTGTCATATCCCTGCAGATTGAAGCAAGAAATATCAACACACACAGTTAGAACCATTACATCAAAATTATACCATATTTGGTCGAGTAGTATTTTTAAGTAATCAATGTTGTGTTTTATACTCCTTATGTTCATATTAAAAATTCTAAATTTTGCATCAGAACTTTGTGTACACAAATTAAGTTCATCGACGCTTTGTGCTATACACGTTGTTTCAGAACTATGGAATCAAACTTGTGGGGGTTATTCAGTGTAACAGTAGAAAACATTTGAGTATAGGGACCCATATCCCGAAAAGTGTCACTACGGACTACGGCCCTAAGACGCGTTAAGCTTTTAATGCATTTAATTTTTGCCTTTTGTACATGATATCATCACAACAATTGTTCAACATGTCTTCCTCCAACCTGAATACACCGTTCCTGTGGGGGCATGTAAAGTCTTTGGATTACGAAACTGCAGTAGAAACAGAGCAAGACTTAATTGGACGAATTACAGCAGCATTTGAAATCCTTCAAAACGAGTATCAAATTTTTAGTCAAGTCCGCCGGAATCATGTGCGACGTTTAAATCGCTGTATTCAGGTTGGTGGAAGACATTTTGAACACTTGTTGGGATGATCTCATGTACAAAAGGCAAAAATTAAATGCATTAAATCCTATTTAGGCAATTCATCATCTTTCTAAATTTTAACGCGTCTTAGGGCCATAGTGACACTTTTCCGGATAAGGGTCCCTATACTCAAATGTTTTCTACTGTTACACTGACTAACCCTTAGAAGTTTGATCCCTTAGTTCTGAAACACCCTGTATTTGTTGCAATACTTGAAGTTTGGAAATCATTAATGTATTTATTTACTGACATTTTTAGGTTCTCTTTAGAGTTAGGAGTATCAAAACATGAACATGAATTTAAAAAAGTATCCTTAAGTTTTGTTATTCCTGATAATATTTGCACGATGGACAGTTTTTGTCGGTAGGTGAGTGGTTGATTTTATAATTTTTTATACCTTTCATTTCCATATCTATAGTTGCAGCATTCTATTGATTCATGCTTATAATTTTCTCCTTCGTGACGGTTGCCACAGTTGGCACATATCTTCTCATTCCGGCAATGATTTTCTGTATGATTAAAACGGTAGCATTTTCCACACTGAGAAATGCCGTTATTTTGCTATACAGTCAAATATCGCCACCCCAGGAGTATCCTTCCATAATTGTCTTCGAAGATTTTTTTAAACAGCTTTCCAGAAGTTTCCGCGTGGATAGTATGATTGTTTCATGATAGAAAATATTTTATAGACTTTACTTGTATGTCTCCGCTCTGAATCATATAATTCTGATGTATGAGATCTTTCTCAATTTGCTTTTCATTTGGTTTCTCACTACTTTTATAATTTATTATTTTGATTTTTTGATTCAACATTTTCGGCTCAGTAACATGATATTTTTCATTCAATTCATTTTGAAGTTCATTTTTCAGTTCATTATGATTTAATTCATCAATTTTTATATCAATTCCGTCATTTTTTGAGTTTCTCTTCTATGTGAATGTTCAGAGATGAAATATTTATTCTCTCTTATTCAATTCTCTTCTCGTATGATCGCAAGATTGTTTTTCTTTAACTCTTTAACTGTGATGCATTTCAGCGATTGTCTTTTAGTAATAGGTGTCGTGTGTTTTAAAATTTTTGCGGATAACTTTTTTTCACTAACTGGTGTTTCTCAACCTTGTCGAGTCTCATGTTAATTCTATCTAATGCTGATGCTATGGCATCCTTATCAGTAATACTTTCCATTACTGACAGCTGTTACTCTTTTAGTTTTAAATTTTCGTTATTAAGCTGACGAATTATTTACTCCTTTTCTGCAAGTGATTTCTTCAGGGATCGATTCTCCTCTAATATCTTCTTTACATTAGTCAAATCAGGTCGATTTTCTTCATCTCTGATGCAGTTTTTTTCATTCTCGGGCTTTTCTTGTTCTTCTTCCTTCTTCTTCTTGCGGGTCATGACACACTTTATAGTTATTTCTTATGTAGTATGAATCAGGAAAAACA